CTAGAGGCTGCTGAGATGCAGCTGTATGTCTTAGTTTTCCTGCCTGGAATGATGCAAGGAAGGTGAAGTTCTGCCCTGGGCCAGGCTAGGTCTCCCTCCCCCTCATGTGACTTCTCAAGGGCTGAAACCATTTTGTGGATGAGATACATTGCCCTGAGAGGGACTTGGGTCTCTGAAGGCGAGTGCAAAGAAAGTGCAGGGACCTGGTCCCATGCCACGCTGTCCTACGTGTTGACTTTCCAACCTCGGGTTTGTTCACTAGATTCGCTGGATCCTGTTTCCACATGTGTCAAAAAGGAGGATAATTGTGATGATATCTGCCTTTCATAAATCTATAAATTTGAAATTTGTAACAAGACCTAGACAAGTTGGGGGTGTTGACAAAGATTTAGCTTCCCAGCTGCACAGCATATCTGGCTGACGTGTTGAATTGACCTTAGATATCTGGATTTCCAAAAAGTCCCTGGTGTTCTGCCAGCACGGAATGTTGGAATGTTTGTTGTCTGGCTCTCTCCCAGTAACCCTGGCCTGTAGCTGCATTGCTGTTCCTCTAGGCTCCTCCTCCCTCCCCAACTCTGGAGCAGACCGACATAGTCCTCACAGTACTTTCAAGAGTAGAGGAAAAATATGAGACTTGCTCTCCTCATCACCCCGAAAGTAACCAGGGGGTGAGTTGCCTGGATTTTGACTCCTTACAGAAATTTCTGACCAAAGGATTCATCCGCCACTAACTACATGGGGTTGGAGGGAATAAAGCAGTACTGGATATTCTCTTGTCTGAGATGCAGCAGAGCAGTTTCTGGAAGCACAGAGTGAACTCAGGTGACTTGCTTGAGGCCGCACGGTGAAATGGGACAGTGGCAGTTATGTTGGGAAATTGTTTTCCAGAGTTTATCCAGGCTGATATGACAACAGGGTTGGAGTATCTGCAATACAGTGGAGTTGTTTATACATTTACTCTGCAATTGTTTTCTGATGCCTTAATGTAGGTGCTGGTGAAATTAATAGGAAATCTCCGAGTGGTTTAGTATAGGCTGTTGGGCCATCCATCTAGAACATATTAGCCCCGCCCTAAGGGTGGAGAATAGCATAATTGCCCTTTGAGTGACACTCCTTCCTCTCTTTCTGCTCCTCCTAGATGCTTCTTCTGTGGCCTCACAGGCTGAGCAGGCAGCCTGTGATGGGGCCCTGCTCAGAAGACCCCCACCTCTGCGGGCCCTCCAGGCTCCTGGGATTCACCAGCTTTCTCCTCAGTGAGTGATCTGGGCTCCTGGGAGGGAGGGCCTCTGGGTGGAGCCGGGAGGCAGGGTGCCCTTTCCATGTCTTGTGTCCTTGGTGAACAAAAAGACAAAACAGCTCTGCAGTTATTTAGCAAATGCAGAGCCTTTGGTTTAGACACCTGGGGTGAAAAGAAGAACAAAATCATCTTCTTGTTGTGGTGAGTCTGAGACACCTGAGCTCAGGCAGCCTTCACTACATTAAGGAAAACATTTCTAGGAAGATAAGTCTGTCTCTGCAGCAGAAATGTGAAGCTGGGTGAGCCGGGAGCTGCCTGCCTAGAGGGGGAGAGACTAAGAAGCTGGCTCCTTGACTTGGATGGGCTGGGGAAACAAGGCTCCCTGGTCTCAACTCAGAGGGAACGTGACAGTCTGTGCAGCTGCCCTGTGGAGAAGAAGGTTGACTAGAACCCTGTGTCTGAGATGGAGGAAGCAATTGTAGTCTTGATTTCTTGGGCAAGATGCAGGATGTTAAATGCAATTAAATGAAATTCTGCTTTTGTAAAAGGAAAAGCAACTTCTCAAATTTAAGGGTTTCTGTATACCACCTGTTGTAAGAATACGGAGAAATTAAGAACGGAAGTGTAGACTGGTAATGTGGGTGAACTAGAGGAGGAAAGAAGGGAAAGAGACGTAGAAAACTATGGGGAGTTAAGTGAAAAGTGAGCTAAAGACTGGACAAAACCCAAATTACATACGTGACTTCCTGGAGACTATCTGATTATGTATGAGAAAATTAAAAACTAATGAGTAAACACTAATACCCAAGGAATTATGAATTCTGGAGAAAGCTGGAAAGGTTTTATTTTTAATTAAAGTTTAAAATTTTTAAATTATTTTTTCAGTATTCCAGCCACTAAGTGAACTTTCAGGAGCTATATGAAATTTAATGAATTATAGACTGTTTATAAACAGATGTCTTGAATTAAGAATAAGCTTTATAAAACTTTACCTCCTTTTCAGTAATGTAACTCTATAAGGTAACGGTAAAATATAGAGCTTCTTTTCTCTTCAATTTTATGTAACTTGAAAATAAGTTCTGTTATTTAGAGTTTTCTCCATAGGCTCTGGGGTTGGAAGATTACATAAAAGAAAGAGAGGGAAAATGGACAAAATTGTAAATTGATTTGCAACTATTAAATTTTATATTATTTAAATAAACTCTATGTTGTTTGTAACCACACTCTCCCTGGCTTTATTTTTTTCTTCAGGATTAGGTCTTTTGTAGATCACATCTCTCACTCCCTTCCTTCTCTTTCCAAGTCTTCTTCTACCTTCCTCAGAGCTCAGCTCACCATCCCCCCCGAGTGGGTTCTCCCTGCACACTCAGGACTGAGCTTCTTCTCTCTGGTTCCTGTTTTTCCAGGAAATGGAGTCTGGACAGGCTGGTGGTTAACCCTCAGCTGGCCAGAAGTCCCTGCTCTGCTAACCCCCCCTAAGTACTTGCTTCCCCTTTCTCAGGAAAGTTGGGGGATGAGCCTCTAGGAACTGCTCAGATCCTGGTGATGAGACAGCGGTGCTGGGAGGGGAGCTCCTGGGGAGGACAGGGACAGGGTGGGGAGCAGATGGGAGCCCCTGCAGGGGAGAAGCACTGGGCTGGGAGCGGGGAGCCCTGGTGCCAGGAGTGGCTCTGCCCTGTGTGACCCAGGACAAGATCACCCCCTGGGGGGGCCTTCCTCTGTGACAGGAGGGGCCTGTATAGATGCCCCCTAAGGTCTGACCTGGAGGAGATGCCTGATTAAATGAATACAAAGAAACATCTGAAATCTTTAGGCATGTGAACAATGGCATGAGTTATTCTCTGCTTCCAGTGAGAGCCAGGAATGAGAATAAGTACAGCTGGAGGGAGACAGGTCTGAAATGGTGAGAATTTATTGAATTGGAAAGGGGATTGGGACTGTGGCAGGCTGACATGAAACTGAGGGAGCCTCTGGTCAATATCTAGAGAGGAACTGAGACCAGTAGGTGCATCCTGACCTGCTGGAAGAAGCAGATTGATCATCTTTTCAGGATAAGGGACTTTGCCTCATCCTGTTCTGTCCTACTTCGTCCCCAGAAAGGGTAAAAGGTATCAGGTCCCTTGGGCCTATGCCTGAAGAGGGAAGGTGGGCTCAGGAGGTGGTGGCCCTGAAGCAAATGTGCCCACTGGTCAAAGCTCTCCAGGAAAGTGTCTGAGGATGGCCCACTGTGACCTGGCAGGGACTGACTGGGAAGTGTTGTCTTGGTGGTAGGGACAGTAGAGCTCATTAAATGATCACTTGCTCTCCCCCTCATATTCTAGTCCTTGGCAGTTAGCCAGGGCTTTGTCACGAGTGCTGGTCGAAAAACATGAGCAGAGAGCACACTGCTTGTGGACAGTCGCAGTGAAACCCCTATGTGATTCTCCTCTCTCCTCTCCTGCTGTGGGGCTGGGAACCTATGAGGATGCTGCGAGTTCCATGGGTGCAGCTACAAGGAGGTGGGGTTTCCTCCATGTATGACAGGGCCTCTCCCTCACTCTCTCATGGGACCTGTGGTGGGGACTATGGACCCCCCTTATTCTAAGACCCTGAGGTATTGTAACTATTTGTTATACAGCACAGCCTGTAGTTTCCTGACTACTGCACTGCCTAGAAAGAGGAGGAAGGGTAGCAGCCTTCATATTTGTGTTAGGTATCTATTGCTGTGTAACGAATCACCACAAAACATAGTACCTTAAACACCACCAGGTATAGTCTCAGTCTCACAGGTTCTGTGGGTCAGGGCTTAGGGTTGGATCAGCTAGGTCCTCTGACTCAAGGTCTCCCAGGCTGAAGTTAAGAGTCTTAGCTGGGGCTGGGGCTGCATCAGCTCATGGTCCACTGCGCAAGCTATGATTCCAAGATCTCTGAAGAGATTGCTGCTGGGAGACAGTTCCTGTGGCTGTTGGGCTGAAGGTCCCAGTTCCTCTCTAGATGTTGGCCAGAGGCTCCCTCAGTTTCTTGTCATGTGGGCCTCTCCTTAGGCAACTGACAACATGACAGCTGGATTCCTCAGAGTGAGCAAGAGAGAGAGAGTGAAAAAGAGGATGTGTGTGTAAGCAAGAGGGAAGTCACAGTCTTGTATAACCTAGTATCACTGAGTGATATCCATCATGTCTGCTCTAGTCTATTCCTTGGAAGCCAGTCACTAGATGTAGCCCACTCACCAGGGAGGGCATTACAAAAGGATGTGAACACAAGGGGACAATAATTAATAAGATAATTCTACAGTTATGCATTTGGTATTGACAGAAAATCTGCTAAGTGCTTTTGATATACGAAAGTGAAAAAGTCACTCAGTTGTGTCCGACTCTTTGCCACCCTGTGGACTATACAGTCTACGGAATTCTCCAGACCAGAATACTGGAACGGGGAGCCTTTTCCTTCTCCAGGGGATCTTTCCAACCCAGGGATCGAACCCAGGTCTCCTGCATTGCAAGTAGATTCTTTACTGACTGAGCTATTAGGGAAGCCCCATGATCCCATTCAATTTATGAGGTAGGTGGGGAAACTCCAGATTAGAAAATTTAAGTTACCTCCTCAAGGTAACAATTCACTAGAACCAGGATTTAATTCTAAAATTGCTTAAATTCATTTGACTAGGCTGCCTCTTAAGAATCAAGGGAGTAAGTTGGATGAATTTCATTTAAAATATAGGTTATATAGTTTTCTCCTTTATTGTTATTGAAAAAAAAATATATGGTTCCTGTGTCCCATGCCTTAGGTGTCTGCAGCACTGGGGTCAAGAGTTCTGGAGCACATGGTTCTGGAGTTCAGGATTCTGGAGCCCATGTTCCCCTGCAGGGGATCCAAGGAGGTTCTGTGTTGTTTCATCTGACCAAGAATCAAGAAGCTGACCCAGAAGAGGTCTCATGGGGCTTTGGCCCTGAGTCAAACTACAGAGTCCTGCTGCAAGTCCGCCGTGGGGCAGACACCCCAACTTGGGTCAGCCTCCAGGACAAGTACCAGCACAGGGTCCATGTGCCCAATGTGACATCCCTGAGGATTGAGAACCTGACCCGAGAGGACAGTGGGCAGTACCGGGCTCGAGCCAGCTTCCCTGGAGGAAGAGAACTTACCCAGGTTTTCCTCCTCACTGTCTATGGTGAGTGATGCTCCTCACCACGGCTTCCCTCCTGCTTTTGAGCTAAGAGTGTCAGGTAGGCCCCATTTTTCAGGATCCCTTCCAGACACCAGCGTTCAGGCTATTTCCTCCCTTGAATTAGGGTAAGTGGGTTTACTGCAAATGGTGAAAGGAGTTGAGATTCACTCCAGGGATAAAACCACTTTAGAATTTTGGGAGAGGAGAATGGAAATTTGGGGAAATGATATTGCCATAGCAATTGTTGTTCTTAATATGTCTAGGTTTACTTAATGTGTATATTGCGTATCTGTTGCTGCTATAATGCTGCTTTAATTTGGAGGCTGAACACAGCACAGATTTTTTTTATCTTACTAGGCTCTAGGTCAGAAGTCAGACATAGGTCTCACTGGGCCAAAGTCGAGTTGTTGGCAGGACTGTGTTCCTCTATAGAGGTCCCAGAAGGAAATTCATTTACTTGTATTTTCCACTTCTAGTGGTTGCTTATGTTACTTGGCTATGACCACCTTCCCCTACCTTCAAAGCTGGCAATAGTGGGACCAATTCTTCTCACATTCTAATCCCTCTGACTCCCTTGCTCTTCTTCTTTCTTCCATTTCTAAGAACTCCTGTCATTGCATTGGTCCCAACCATGTAATCAGAACAATCTCCTTATTTTGAAGTCAGCTGATTAGCACCTTAATTCTTTTACCTTAATTCCACCTTGTTCTGTAACCTATCATAGTCATAGGTTCTGAGGATTGGACATGGAAGTATTTGGGGCCCATTATTCACTTACCATAATCCAGAAATTCATGTGTAGTCAGTGCCTCCTCTCCTTTTAATCACCGCCAGTCCAAGGCCAGCCTCACTCACAAAGGCTCCAGCAAGCTCTAGATGCCTGGGTAGATGTAGGAGAATGGTTACATGGTAGCACTTCCAGAGAGCCTCACTTAGCCAACACTTTCTTTCCTGGAAGTCCCTGAGTGCATAGGAAAATATCTGCTGTGAGAGAGTGACTGTTTTCTGCTTTAGGTCCCCATGTGATTTCTATGACCAACTTATCAGTATGTCACTTCTCAAGTTCAGTGGCATGTTCTAATGGACTCAGACTTATCATTCCTAGTTGCTACCATTGACTTAAAAAAATGCATGATGTTTGAGTTATGAATTAAGTTTTTATTTGGAGCAAAATGAGGATGGCAGCCTAGGAGACAGTACCCCAGATAGCTCTGAGAAACTGCTCCAATGAGAGGGAAATGTCAGTGTATATGTGACTTTGGTGAAGGAGGAATACAAGCAATAAGAACATTTTCCCAGAAGTTTTCTACTAGTCTCCAGAAGATTTTTCTAGTCACCAGGAACAGTCATCACCATGAAGGATTTTAGTGCTTTTCTAGATACAATGAGGTACCAGAATTGAGCTCATAAAATAGGCTCCTGAAAATATCTAGCTATCTGAAGACCTGTCCTGCCAGTCCCACTCTCCCGCACCGGCACAGAATGCCTCATGTCTTCTTTCCACCCTGAACTCCTTCAGTGGGGTGTGAAGGTCAGCAGCTACAGCAGCACATGATTTGACCCTTGCAGAGGGAGATAGCAAGTGCCAATTTGTAGTTGACACTGCCACTGCATCTCCCACACATGTCTCCACTATTGGGAGCACAGAACCTTTCTCTGGGCTCCCAACTCTGACCAGGCTTCTTCTTCTCTACAGGCTATAAAATCTCAGGCATTATCTGAGCAGAAGAAGAGGCCAAGTTCCTGATCTGTGATTAGCTCTTCTGTCTGAGACTTCTCCCACATCTAGAAGGAGCCCCATTTTCTTAGAAATAACTGGTCTTGGAAAGGTGGAATCAGGCTTTATTTTCTTGTTGGAGATGTTTAACGCTTCCTCAACATGCACACAATCTAGTGAAATCACATATGGCTTAATTCAGCGGCTCTCCATTTTATTGTCAATTGCTATGTATTAAGTACCGGGCAAATTCTGTTTATCTATATAATGCGTTCACTGTCATTAAAGGGAGAAGGCCAGGGTTTCAGTGAGATGACGGATGAGAATGTACAGACTGGAATGTTCTCCAATCATGTGAGCTCCATTCTATTGTCCCTCCTCTCTCAGGAACTGTACCCCTTCCTGAGATCCATGTCAAGTCAGCATCCATCACACCAGGCTGGTGCAATGTCACTCTGGAGTGCAGAGCCCCAGGGGATACAGAGGACCTGAAGGTGAACTGGGAGATCAAGGGCCTTCCCAGGGAGCTGGAGCAGAGAGTGACATCAGAACTACCCTCCAACTCCTGGAACCTGACTCTGAACCTGCCCCTGAGCCAGCCCGCTGCCAGCTTGACCTGTGTGGTCAGCAACCAGGTGGACCAGAAAACTGCCACCTTAGACCTGGGGAAAGTCTGTGTCTCTGGTGAGTGCACCCGCCAGAGGGGACGGGCACTCTGAGAACTAGGGGCTCTGGGCTTTTCTCCCCATCATGTGATGAGCACCTCCTTCCTACCAGGTCACCCCTTTCAGGAGCCTGAGAGGTATAGTCAGCTTATGTCTGCATTAACTCTCTCTCAAGTCCATGCCTGCCTCTCCACCCCCTTTTTTTTCCCAAGAAAAAAGGAATTTGCTTTTGATGCAAATCAAGTCGGTTCACCCTCCAGGTGAGCAAATCTCAGTCCCAGCTGGCCCTGGAGGCAGAGCAGGTGTGGTGTGGGAGAGGAGAAGAGAACTGGGGCTGCAGCAGCAAAAGCATTTCCTAGAAATGTATTTCCCGAGGGCTCACCCCTCCCCTTACCCATGCTCCCTGCTGCCTGTACCTGCCTACCTGTTGCCCTCCGGGGAGCTCCTTCCCTCCCAGCTGCTACAGGGCAGTGTCAGATCTGGTCCAGAGCAATAGCTTTCTAGCACTTCTCCTACCTCATCCATTATCCATAGTGTGTCATCCACTGTAGTCTTTTGAAAAACAATTGGGTTTTGTGATTGGTCTGTATCATCTGTAAGAGTCTGACCCAGGGATTCCCTGCAGGATTCAGGGCTCTGAAGCTCCTCTGCCCATGTTCCTTACCTCACGCACTTCACACTGAATTGTTTGCTTGGCTTCCCTGAATGTGTCCTGAAGTTGCAAGCTTCTTAGCCTCTGGAAATGCTGTTTCCTCTACCACCAAAGCTCCCAAATCAAGAGTTCCTTGCTTATTCCTATTGAAGGATTTTCCTCAGGTCATGGGCATGTAACCAATGTCCTGCACTTGGTTATAGTTCTGTTATGAGTCAAGTTTGAACAAAGGGTGGCTCAATCTCATGTTGCACAAGCACTGCAGCTGCTGTAACTGCCCTGCCTCAGGCATCATCCCCTTTAAGGAGCAGTCCATGGCCACCCCACACTGAGTAGCAGTGCAATTGATGGGTTTGTCTTCTCCATAGCCTGGAACACCTTGAGGGCAGAGGACATGTCTTGTTCTTTGAATTCTTATACCAAACAAAGTTTCTGGCACTGTTCACACTCAGTATTTCACTGAGTGAATAAATGAACTGGTATCCTGTGTGCAATCTAGCCCCTCTAACCCATCCCCCATGAGCTGCTGGTGGGGGCTGATATGTCAGCATCACTTAAAATCTCATGATACCTTTCCCTTGGTCCCATTCTAGAGTCTCAGATAAAGTTCAACACTCAGCATGACCCTCAAGAGCCTCTGGAAAGAGCCTCTCTTCTCTCTGATCATCCTCATCCTGCTTGTTCCTGCCCTTTCCCTCTCCTGCCTGCTGATCGGGAATGATTGCAACCCCCAGGGCTGCATATTTGAGAGAGCAGTGTCTCCTCCTTCCTGGAAAGCTGTGCGCGGTCTGAATATCTGGTAAACTCCTACTCCTCCCTCAGAGGTGAAGTTTATGCATCACCTCCTCTGGGAGGCCCTCCATGAAGACCAGTGTACAAGGTGTTAACTTCTACTGCACTGCCGTCTCTCTGGCTGGAAGACTTTGGTATGTTCTCCGTCTTCCCCAGGGTGACCTGTATTGTTTATCTCAGTGTCCCTGGTATCAAGCAGAAACTCAGGACCTTGAGTGAATGATACTGCCTTGCCACCTCCTCTTTAGCTTCAGACCTCTCCACTTGCTCTTCTGTATGTTTCGTCAACAATGGATGTCTCAAGTTCTGTTTGTCATAATTTTATTTATTCTTTCTGTGTGAGGAAAACAGATTCACCTAGAAACAGCAGTACTAAGACCCTGCCAGGCATCATAGGGGCTGTTGTGATTATGCTGTTGATCCTCATAATTGGACTGTTCCTTTGGAAGACCTATAAGAAGAAGAGGAAGATGAAGACTGAAAGAGGTAGGGTGCATTTCTGCTTCTTGCCCCAGGTCCCACCCTTCCCCCACTGAACCCTTGGTTGCCTTCCTCCTGCATTTTGCTGCTCAGGGAATATCAATGCAGAAGGGGAAGGCAGGTGTGGGCTTGGCCTTGAGTTCATTGCCATGGGGGAAGGTATATGTTTTCAAGGCGAGGTTTAAGCTCCACTCTGTGTATGACGCAGGTGTAGAATTTCAGGGTGACCCCAGGGACAATGATGGTGGCATCCAGTATGCGGAGCTGAGCCAGCAGGGGTCTGGAGAGGTCACACACAAGGTGAGAATGGGAGCTGAGCCCAGTCTGGGATCTCATGGGTCTATCTCCTGGGTCTGTCAACCCAGTCACCTGCTGTTCCTGGCCCTGCTGTCTGTTTGACTCTCTCCAGGTGGTCAGTGGTATTTACTAAGAAAATTTAAAACTTGGGGCCAGTGTAGTGCTGGTCACTTTGGGGAAACTCACATGCATTTGTTGTCAGCAGCATTGCTTCCTTCTGGGTCACGCTAGGGCCTCTCTCAGCTTTTTTAGAAACTCTCTGACTTAAAAAAAAAAGAAAAGAAAAAGAAACTCTCTGACTTCAATTCCTAGGGTGCTGGTAAACAACATTTAGAAGAAAAGGAGTCTAGTACTGTCTACAGTGAGGTCTATAAGCCAGAAAGGGAGGCCATGAAGATAACTTAATTGGAGAAAGCAGAAGAATCAGAACTACTAGGACACCTCCACTCGGAGCTTGATTCCTGCAGACACCTGCCTCTCTCAGATCTGGTCCAGCTCCAGCTGCCTCTGTGACCCTCCCGCCCTCAAGTGCCTGCACACATGTGGCCTTCTCACAACCTCTGTCAACTTCCCCAGCTGTCTTCCCACTCAAGATCCTCACCCTGCAGGACGAGAGCTCTTCCATCATTGACCCAGCACCTAGCCCCTCTTTTCCTGAAACTTCCCAAAGAGGACCTTCCTGCACATGATAATCCCCACAGCCTCTGCTGTGTGACTGGTGTGTATCTTTCTGCGCATTCAAGCCCAGGTGTGGAGACAGTGTAAAGGTGTTGACCAGACTACAGAGGACAAGGTTAGGCTTTGGTGCTGGGTGCTGAGTTGGGCATCTGTGGAGGCAGCATGGGTAGGTGGGAGCTCATAAAGAACTGGCCTGAGGTTTCCTTTGCCCCTTATGTTGGGCAAAAGTTGTATGTCAGGCAGTGTGTTTGTGTGTGTATGTCTATTTGTCGCTATGTGTGCTGGGGGGATAGCCTGTGCACATTATACAGTGGTCCAGCCCTTGTTCCTGATCACTAGTACTAACTAACCTCAGCTTCAGCTCGTGGACCTCAAATCCACCTCCTGTGGAGTGGGTAGAGGAATTTGTACTGTTTCTGGCCCTTCAAAACCTTCTGTGTCTCTGAAGGACCCATGCTGAGATTTGTATTCTTAGAAAAGCAGCTTCAGGGCATTCCTGTCTGGGGTGGGGGTCATTAGAATGGAAGTGCAGTGTGCTAGCCCCCCAACACACACACACTCTAACGAAGCTGCTGTGAGAAGTAAAGCTTGTGGGAAGGTGTGAACCAGCCCTCTCCTGCCTCTTCTACTGACCCTCATCCCCCACAACCTGCTGGCCTCAGATCCTAGTCAGCCTACTCTTTGCTCACTCACATGCTTCTGCCTGAAATGATTGCTCCCTCCCTGCCCCTTACTCTTGTCCCTGCCTGTTGGAATCCTAGCATTCCACCCAATCCTAGACCCCTTTCCAGGTCACATGGTCTACATGTACCCAAAGATTTGGAAATAGTCTCTCCCACATCTAACTGTTTTGGACACAAGTGACATAACCAATTTGGCTGCCATAGTTTGATTGGGTTGGTCATCAGTTTTTTCCCTGCCTGCATCACCTGGAGCTCCCTCGGGAGGGTGTCATGGCTTTAGGAGGCCAGTGCCAAAGAGACAAGCACCTCTCTTTGTAAATTGTCTGAGCTATTCTTCCTCTCAACTCCAACAGGAACTCAGCAGATTGATCTCAGAGCACAGCATCTACCGAAGGTGTTTCTGGTAGTAAGTCCACAAGGAAGCAAAGATGGACGTGATGAGCCCCAATAATCCTGCCTGATTCCCCATCCTACCTCCACCCTCACATTGCTTGAGGACCTGATGTCACCTGCACTGTATTGTGTGGGATCTTCTCCTCTTCCTGGGGGTCTTCCTCTCCTCAGCCTCTGTCTCCAGCCTTCAGTCCCAGCTCTTGAGTTGGAGATGAACTCACTCTAGTACTATGATCTGTGTCCTTTTGTCTGTTGGCCTGCATTCTTGAATCTCTTGGTTTCCCACCCAGTTCAGCAATCTCAGCTTTTTCAGTTCTGACCTCAGAAAGAAAAGTTCTGAACTAAAATCTTGAGCAATAAGAAGCAATGCTAAGATCCTGCTGGATAAGGGAGAAGCAGAGTTTCCTCAATAAAGCCATTTCTAGCTGGTTTATTGTCAGGCTGAACAGAGAAGGCTGAGAGGAAAGAAGATGACCTCTCTCACTGGAATCCTAGGTGACCTGTCATGGCTGATATCAGTGCCATCAGTCCAGAGGCAGTGTGAGATGTGACCACCCACTGACCCCCTCCCACCCACCTTGATTCCCAAAGCATAAGACAAAAAAAGAAAAAAAAGAAGGGAACTCAACATTCCAAGCCTATATTGAACCAGCTTTTGTTCCATGAATTTTATAAGTATTATTTCTTCTTATTCTTATAAGAACTCTTTTATTTTTTATTTATTTATTTATTTATTTTGAGGCTACTTACGTTATAATATTTTATTGGTTTTGCCATACATTGACATGACTCATTGGAAAAGACCCTAATGCTGGGAAGGATTGGGGGTAGGAGGAGAAGGGGACGACAGAGGATGAGATGGCTGGATGGCATCACTGACTCGATGGACATGGACTAGGGTGGACTCCGGGAGTTGGTTATGGAGAAGGAGGCCTGGTGTGCTGCGATTCATGGGGTCGCAAAGAGTCGGACATGACTGAACAACTGAACTGAACTGAACTGAACTGACATGACTCTTTTAGAGTAGATATTACTATTCCTGGACTTCCCTGGTGGCTCAGATGGTAAAGCGTCTGCCTATAATGCGGGTGATCTGGGTTCAATCCCTGGGTCAGGAAGATCCCCTGGAGAAGGAAATGGCAATCCACTCCAGTATTCTTGCCTGGAAAATCCCATGGACGGAGGAGCCTGGTAGGCTACAGTCCATGGGGTTGCAATTACTATTCCTATTTTGTAGGACAAGCAACTAATATCCCAAAATAGTTGGTGGCAGAGCAAATTGTTAAATTCAAGGCTAGGAAACTCCAGCATTCATATCTTTTCCTTTGCCACATGGTCAATGAAGTTCTTGGAATCCTAAAGTATTCAGAAAAGAGTATGTTCCATTTGTTCCTCTTCCAAGGTTCCTGGTTCTGACTCAAGTGCCTCAGCTTGAATGAGTTCATTCTGATGATGAATGGAGCAGTTGGTGGGTGAAAGGGGAATTATTCCTTAAGGGCACAGTGGAGTGGGAGATGTGGGTGGGCGACATGCAATGACAGGTCCTGTGCTCTGGTTCAGAGGAGGTATTTGAAGCAGAGATGCTTCGTCTTGGGTCTTATGGGAGTTCCTTCCTCTTATACAAGGTGTGTTGTGAATTTCAGCATCCCTATTCTCAAGTCAGCTTCCCTTTACATTATTATTCATAATTTCATTCAAGAATTATGTGATGCTGAAATCCTCAATGTACAAATGAAAAATTAAAATCCAGAGATATTCAGTATTCTACAGAAGTTCTCATGAGTGTAAGTTATACAGGCATGATCACAGGAGATAATAATTCCACTCATTTTGATTCCTTTCTCTGTCATTCTGGACACCCAATCATTTACCAGCTTCCACTGTGCTATCCTTCATAAATCTTCCTGTACTCCATTCTCCTCCACTTCTTTCATTCCCATCTTCCACCACCATTTTTGCAATTCCACCAGCAATGTGTGAGAATTTCTCCACGTTATCTCCAACTCTTGTTATTTTTAGATTGTATCTATCCTAGTGCTGATGAAGTGGTATCTCGTTGTGGTTCTGAATTGCATTTCTCAAATGATTCATGCAAACATGTTTTCATGAGCATATTAACCTTACTTGAAGAAATTTCTTTCTTTCTTGAATTCTTTCTTGTTATGCATTGTCCCTACATCTCCACCAAGTCTGCTTTTTTCCCAGTCACCAGGAAACTCCACACTGCTAAATTTAGTAGTCAATTCTCAATCCTCATTTCCCATAAGTTCTCAGCCACAGTGGATATATATTTCCTGGAAACATTATTTTCACTTTGCTCTTTCCTACCTACTGGGTGGTTGCTCTTTAGTTTCCTTTATCAGTATCTTTCCAATCTCTAAATTTTGGAATAATGAAGGTTCATACCCAGACCACCTCGCTTCACTGTCTACACTCATTTCTGTTTGATGCTCTGGCCATGCAGTAATCTTGTGACTATATGACTTTATGTGGTAAAAAGGACTTGAGAGATGTGACCTGTCCCCTGAACTCCACAGTGTGAATATCCAACTGTTTACTTGACATTTTCACTGGCATGTATAACAAGCATCTCCATCTTGACATGTTTAAACTCAGACTCCCCAAACATGCTTCCTATACAGTTTCCTATCCCTCCAAAGGTCACCTCAATCCTTCCCTTTTTTCTGACCATAACACTTGGGTGTCATCCTTGACTTCTTTATTTTTTTAATTTTCATTTCTTTTTCACTCTCTATTAGAAAATACTGATAGTTCAACATTCTATATAAAGTTGAATACTTATTTTTGTATATCTATATGAAAAAAATATGTTTATAACAAAATGCCTCTTACCACCTCCCTGGTCCAATTTCGTCATCATTTCTCAGTTGGATTATTACAGTTGCCTCAGAGTCTACTACTTTTACCCATAATCCTTTAATGTCTATTTTCATAATATCACCCAGATGAATCTTTTCAAATCTTAAGTTGCATCACATCCCTTGTTGCTCAAAACTACCCTGTCACATTACTTGTTAACTCAAAATTTCCACTTTATCTGGAAGATTCTGTATCAGCAGGCCTCCTCTCCCATATACCCCTCCTTCCTTAATCCACTATAGGACACTGGGCTTCCTGCCAGTCCTTCAATACTCCATGCATGCTCCTTCCTCTCTAGAATTCTCTCCTTCTA